ATCATTCTTTTATATTGCACAATAAATAAATAAAATATTTGTCATTTTAATCTAACTTAGATGCTACTTAGATTGCATTCCTGCTGTTTATGATGTTAATGCGAGCTGTATAAAATATGTCTTGTTGTCAACATGCACTTGAAACGTTTACCATAAATGTAAATGTAATATCGGTCTTTAAGGCGCATAAAAGCCTAGCAAGCTTTCAAATATGAGCAGAACCAGCATAGAGATACAAAGCCCGCTGGCATTTTATGTGGCCTTTGAGACCCATCTTGACATTGTTTATTTGTTGTGATGCCTAATTTGCTGTTACAGCGACCATCTGGGTGCATTCCAAGGGAGATATGCATCCTCTGTGACTCCCTCCACTTCCCTTTCAGAGTAATTACCCAGAGGACTGCACAGAATGGAGGTAGCTAATGTCTCCTCCCCTACCTGCGCCCCACACAAAGACGCATTCTGTTCAACTTTGCTGTGGGATACAGGCTGGAGGCATTTGACAGATTTAACTCTGAATTGTTCAGAGTCCCAGAGCGCCACAGATGTTATCAACTCAAAAATAATTGACTAAGAATGTTTTGAAACGGTTCTCTTACAGCTGATCGGAAGTGTCAGTCATATGGAATGATCCATGTGCAGTGCATGGAAATTAATGATATTTTGAACATTAAGTGTTCTATTCTATTCTGTTCTTTGAAGTGCGAGTCAATATTTGCCTCCATTGCTGCCAACTGCAATGCAGTGGGAAGAAGCAGCAGCAGCAAACCATAGAGAGTTCTAAGAAGTATCAGGTCATATTTGGCCAGAAAGCAATTGAGAGGTCTGGCTGAATGCCATATACAGTAGGTGAGCCACAGAACGTGGGAAGGAGAAGCTGCATTTTGGCCTCCCTGATGGACCTGATGAACTGTTTGTTGTAGACCACAAACTTGACTGTAGTTCAGTGTGTTTGAATGCATTTGTTCAAAGTGCGGTTATGGTGGGTTACCCAATACTGGTTGGCAGAGCCATCTGATAAATTTATGAGCCCTTTCATGACCCCACCAATGTATAAATAGCCTTTTAACTCCCAATTCAATGGAAAAGTTTTTTGTCTTTTCAAAGTCTCAAGACAACTTATAGAAGGTTTTCACATTTGCAGTAGCCTAGTTTTGGAAATAGCCTACATTTGATCTTTTATTCCTGTAGTTTGACTTAATGAAGGGATGAACAATATATTAGTACCATATTAGTTATCAGCCGATATGAGAGATTTTCAATTGATATTTGATATTTATCAGCAGATAATGCATATTTAAATGTTAATTTCCCATATTTTTACATTTAGATTACTTTTGCCATCATCTAATGCTCAGTTAAAGTTAATCTGTAAAAACAGTAATAGCTTAATAACACTACAATCTTAAAATATAAATTTTCAACACTATAATGGTATGTCTAAATTCACTTGTACCATTGAAAATAATTTATTTAAACAAGTTTTTAGTGTTTTGTTTTTCGTTTATTTAGACAAAATGATAATGGTAGTAGACAATTTATTTTTATTGACTATTTGGCAGGTACAAAGTCTGACCCTAAATTTCTGGATGTCCTTCTGCAGTAAATATATATTGGATCATGATATATCTGTGTAGGTTAGGAACATGATTCAGCAGGATTGTGACTGAGGGAGACTCATGCGATCTTACCATGTACTCCATGTTTGAGGCAGGGGGGTACACTTGACCCCTAAGCTTATTATGTAGGTCAAGAATGAGTTGCATATCACTTTGTGAAATTGCTCTCCTGCCCCTTGGCTTAGATTGCCACCACGTCTCATCCTTATCCATGTATTTTTCCAGGATGGCTTCTAAGTGGGTGGCATTGGGAATGACCATGGAAACCACTGTTTGGACAATCACAAGCAGCACAAACCCACTAAATAAATCTTCATGTCCACACTTCATGTTTCCTTCACATCTGTCAGCTACAAAATCCAAAGTGGTATCTGTCCTCTGCCTGTGAAATCAAAATGATTGTAATCAGATCTACATTTTAACGCAGATAAATGTATATTTTTGTATACATTTTTGTATTAAATTTATACATAATGTGGTATAACAGAATGACATAATAATTAGATTTGATTATGTGCATTGGTTCGCATGGATGCTCAGCAATAGATCAGTTCATACAAGCCCGACTGAAAAGTGCAGTTTCAGCATTTTCACAACTGAGGTGATTGTTTCTAACTTGTCAAAGACTTGTGTACGCCTTTTGCCACACACATGCAATATTTCATACAGTCGTGTCCTGTATTAAAACCAACCACACAAGTCTTTGAAGTCTGTAGGCCTATTGCATCTTCAGCTATTATGAGTAACTCTAATGCCATCTCTTAAAATAGTAATATTATTATCTTTACTAGAGTTACCCTTACAAAGTTTGTAGTAGCATCAATTCCTTTGACATATTGCAGAAGAAATGTTAAGTGTTCTTTATACTGAAAGTAAGCAGCATTTTACCTTATGCGGTTCCGCGCGTGGACGTTTAGATCCGGTGTTGACCTACTGAAATAATGTTTCTCTGCAGTTTTTGCATTTCAAATACACGAGCCCATCTGTTTTGATCTGCTTGCAAGTTTCTTTATGAATGAGTCATCATGGGTCATTGTGCGGATAAATAATGAACGTTCAAATGTTTAAATTTGTGATGCTGCGTTTTTCATTTATAGTGTAGGTACATTTAAGCCACGCCCACAACCACACCGCCACACCCACAGCACAGAAGCGTTTAGGTATATATACCGGTGCATTTGCCTGTATTTCTAGTAATTTAGTCAGAGTGAACAAATCATTATTTTTATTTGTGTTTTTATGTGTCTTTTAGTGTGTGTTTTTTTTATTACCATAAATGCTTTCAAAAAAATTCAACACTTCCCTTTATCTATCTATCTATCTATCTATCTATCTATCTATCTATCTATCTATCTATCTATCTATCTATCTATCTATCTATCTATCTATCTATCTATCTATCTATCTATCTATCTATCTATCTATCTATCTATCTATCTATCTATCTATCTATCTATCTATCTATCTATCTATCTATCTTTTTGCTGTACAGTGTTGTGTAATAGGCCAAACAAACACTAGATGGCAGCATTGAGTGATTTTTAAAGCCTTCGCTATATGGATAAAATTAACTGTGTGTGAATATTCTCCATGAACATGACATTTGGGCTGGATGATTATATTGATTACATTTAGCCTATACAAAACTGATTTCCACAACTTGAATTTTAATTTGAGAAGCTTTCTAAATTGTCTCATGATAATCTATTTCCCTGTAATCTTAGTACTTTAAAGGGTATTCTTTAAATTTGTGCACATCTAAGAGGTCATGCAATTGGTAAATGATTATTTTTCTTTAGTGTGAAAATAAATAAAATAATGATTATTTCAATTTATATGTTGGGTGAGAGGGTCTTTAGCAGGCAATGTATGCAGTGATTTTGACCTAAATTTTGCTGAGAGAGCTGGATTGTTATGTTATTTGGTGGTAGAAAGGGGGAAGTCTTTCTTTTTTTTTTTTTTTTTTTTTTTTTGTGTGCTCACATCCACAGCCAATATCGATGGTCTGCAAAATTACAAAAACAGGGGTATATTGTTTTTTTCCTAAGCAAACATACTATTGGTTCACCATTTCTCGTATTTCAGCTTTATCAACATACAGAAATGCTGAGAATGTTTTCACCAGATCAGTCTTGCACAGTGATCAGGAATATTTTCAGGTGTCTCAAAACTATTATAATCGAGTCCTGCAGATTTGGAGACAGCTCTGAATTTTTCAACAGAAACAGAACAGAAAGGTATATATTCAGTTACACAAGAGGTTAACAAAAGAAGAAATAATGAAAAACTAAATCTGAAAAGTGGATGAGGAGAATCGCTGAAGAACTGTCCAGGAAAACTGGAACCATTTAGCTTCATAGACACATGTTTACACAATCAATAGTGCAGCAGTCTCTGAAAGACACTGAAACAATGTGAAGTAACGTGCCAGGAAAATCTTAGAAATGTGTTTACAAATGAACCCAATACATCTCTTGAATGTCAGTGTGCATTTGCAAATACAATTTTTTACATGCAATGTCAGTAAACTTAAAAATACCTTTGAATGACACTTTTCACACATACAATGCACCTTAAACAGACACTCACAGGTAGTAAAGAATTCTTTATTAGTATATATTTTCAGCACAAACCTGTAGAAACACTTAAACTACACCAACTGTATATTGGGGTAAATATAAACAATCTCAGTGCAATAGTGCTACTGTATCTTGTGTTTAGGGAGATAAATTAACATAAGAGCATTCAATCTATATCTCTCATTTAAAAAGAAGAAGAACATGAAGAAAACAATACCGCTACTATGTGCTGGAAATGTATAACAAATCTCAGTGAGCCACCAATTGAAAGAACTGTTATGCTGTTCTTTCACTATTAAAATAATGCACTATATATCATTGTATATGAAATTACACAATTCGAAATTTAATAGCTTAGATGCACCTCCTCTCTCCCAGAGAACTAAAAAACTAGGATGTGGAGTTTGGTAGAGGTCACAATCTGAGGTCATCCTAGTGTAACCATGGCAACATCACTGTTCAGCAAACATTACGTAAAGAGAAAAGCAAATCAAATTCAGAGCAGCAATCCTTGACACAGAATAGCACCATTCCATGATCATTTATCATGAATTGCCAATTGATAGTTAAATGTAACACTCACATAACAACATATAATATAACTAAACATGAGAACTTTACACAACCAAATAAAAATGTTGAAAATACATTCAACGTTATCATTACAAAAACCTCAGAGCGGTTTTTGCTACTGAAAATACATGTACAGCTATGAAAACAAAAAATAGCTTGAATGTTTTATGTCTAAGCACCTTGGAAAAACCCTGACGTAACGGATGTAAAAAAAGAAAAGTGGAATATAAACATTGAGTGATCAGTACAGACTTGATCTGTGAACCAGAAGAAACTATAACTACTATTCATGCGCATCAATATGATGGCTGATCCTAAAACAGTCATGTTAAGATTGTATTAACATTAGCACCATTTCTGGAATCGATAGTATCACATACAAAAAAGCAGCTAAATCTGCTGTACAAAATGCATATATATTTAAAAGATATATTACACAGTACATTACTGTAAAATTGCATTAAACATATGACAGAGAGCTTATTTAAACCAGTACATGAAGTTTGAGTTGATGGCAGGAAAGCACATGTTGTTGCTGCATGAACCTCCATAGCTTGGAGGACAGGATGAGCATGGCACACCGACTCTGTAAGGTGCTTCGCCAATCCAGTTGCCCCTGAAAAAAAATAGGATTCTTTTAAAAAATATGCCACAAAGACAATCATGCGTAACACATTAGTCATGCGCTGGCATTATCAGACTAAGAATGGCACACTCTGTGCTCTTGTAGAGTGTATACGGTCTGGCTAGAGTCACATTAAAGGATAAAAACATGACTAACTTAGGGGAATAATTGCAGACCAAGTACGTTGCCTCCCTCCACACAGCGCCCCACACAACCATATTGTAACAGGCTTGGATGGCACATCCGACTCTGTTTGATGACGCCCACACCATCTGTAACATTCAGAGAGCGTCAGACATGCACGTTTTTGCTGTTTGCTTAATCTGAATTATGACTTGCAACCAAACTCACTTGTGTGTAATGTGTGCACATGGGTCCATAACAGCGCATCGGGCAGCGGGGATTGCAGTCATGCGGGTATGGAAATGCATAATCTCTGACCTCATCATACCAAGGTTTAACCAGCTGAAGAATGGAGCGGTAACTGGCAGGAGCACAATTTGGGCGGGTGAGGGGACAGTATTTTACACTGGACTGTATCCAAAACACAATTCTGGACTGGCCTGATGCCTTGGGTCTTGTTCATCATTTGTAATTTGATAATGCTGCCAAAGTGACATTTTTAAGTCTTAAATGAGCACCATTCTTCTTTATTCAAGGAACACTAAAGATATGAGAGGTTTTTCTGTCAATGGCAAACAACTGTTCACCTGCACGACTTACTAGCCAGTTCGGACTGAGAGGTTTTGACCCAGATATCTGAGAAGGTAAGGAGGTCCATGTTCCCAAATACAGGTGGCTGCCCAAGCTTCTGCTGACCTGGCCAGGCCTTCATCCCAAAGCTAAAAAATACATAAAATATAGAGGTAAATGTGTGCAATAAAAAAAAACAAAAAAAAAAACTTTTATTTTACATCTTTTACATTTGAACCCATGGAGGAAAGCATATAAAATCCATGTCAAATATACCTAAGATGAAATTGCCCTACTTTCTGCTACTGTCTGCTCTCTAATTGCTCTTGTGGTACTTTGATGTCATACACTGATCGGTCTGAATGGTCATACCATTTCAAGTCAAACACTACGCGTCCGAAATCACATATTCTCTTGAGTAGGCCTATTTATTTTGAATAAGTAATTATTTCGCGATTACTAAAAGTATGTTCTATAGTGTGTACTATAAATGTAATCTGGACGTAACATTCGACATGTTGTCATTATCACGTGACCTATAGCGTATGATATTTTGGATGCAGCTAGTAGGTGTGTTCGACATCGGCTGCGGCTGGATGTAAGCGATCGGCGAGAGTAGCCGCGTGCAGGCGGGGAGGAGCTGCAAACGGAGACGTGAAGTCGGACACTTTCTGGTTCCCGTAGTGACCGCTCACGTGGTGTTTGTATAGCCTACTTTAGCACAGCTGAAGTGAAATAAATGCAATATTTGCCAAATACACAGATGTTTCAGAGACATTTTCATTCAATACTTTATGTAGCCTACTGCTTCATACAGCGTTTGTTTGAACAAGAATAAAGTTCAACATAAGCCTACAGCTAGGCCTACTATCAATGAAGTGGAATCAACGTTTTTTAATCAGTTTTATTTTGATAAACATAACACAATAAATCGCGACTACATGAAAAGAGTGTTTACTGTTATTAAAAAACTGATTTGTGAGCTTTAGTGGAACTAAAGGTGTGAGAATAAACACGAAACGCACGTGATCGTTGTCATGCGGTGAATCCGGCCAATCGTGGAACAGCTGTGTCGTCATCACAGCTCGTGCAGCCCAGAGCAGCCGCTCTTCAGAAGCTGCGCTGGCTGAGTTCTCCGGCTACTCTCGAATCGCTCTCGCGGTACTTTGATGGCATACGTCACAGTCACGTGGCGTCGGCGCTGTATCAAGTCGGACAACATTTCTAACCGGCATGCACTGCTTCAAGTCTGCCGCCGATCGGTCTGCGCAGAGCTGCATGAAGTCGAACAAGCCTAGTGTGATTTCATGTGAACATAGTCACATGACCAAAGATGTTTAATCCTGTGTGTGTGTGTGTGTGTGTGTGTGTGTGTGTGTGTGTGTGTGTGTGTGTGTGTGTGTAAATGGCATACTTGTTTTACTTTATAATAGGCTACTTGTAATAATTGCAAACAAACTGGGATTAAACTGTTCTGGTCTTGAGACTACACCACCCACGTAAACATGTTTACATTAAATCAAGACAGTGTGCACTATGTTATACTCGCAAATTCTGTGTAAAATAAATCAACGAGTATTTAATACATTTTAAACTTTACCGGTGGGATTAAATTATTTGAGACTATTATAACAAACTATTATTATATTGTATTGTATCCAGCAGGAGGAGCTGTCGAATGAATTACTGTAAATGCAGCACCGCATTTCAATCTAATCAGCTTCATTTTAATGTTGATAATGAGGGATAAAATGCTTCATATTCTTTCTTTGGAAATGAGTGGGATGCTTACCATGTACTCCATGTTTGCTGCAGGTGGGAAAACATTCGCGCGCACCTTGTTGTGATAGTCCAGAATTGCTATCATGTCATCTTGAGAAATGTACCGTTTTCGCCTTGATTTGGGTATGGATGCCAATCCGTCATCACCCATTTCCGATTTATTGATAGTGAGATTGGTTCCGGTGAGCGTTTCAGTCGCATTTCTGATAATCCAAGCGCTCGCATCACTGGCTACGAATACAAGAAACAAATCGGTAAAAAAGTTGATGGTCTTCATCCCTCTTTTGGTGACTAATCAGTGATTATCTGCAAGTAAAATAATACTCATGAACATTTACATGAAATATAACTGATACAAAGAGAGACAAAAAAAAAAAAAAAGATATTTTAATTATATAAAAATATCATAGCCTACATGGTAGGCTAGGCTATATAAAAAGTGTGTGTAAGATTCCTGCATCAACATCGTACCGTGGAATCGTTCGTATCTGAATGAGTGTGCGGAGTAGATCTGCGAGTCTCATATCCTGATGGAGATCTCTCATCCCGTCCACTGCTGCCTCTGGCTTTTATACTGTGCTGCTGGGATTCAGGAGGCAAGCGCAAGGTGCTCTGACTGCGACCGGTCACCTAAACACCATATGAGGCCAGCTCTTATCACTCATTTACTGTTTTAATTGCAGTATAGTGCATACCTGTCAAGTTTTGGATTTGAAAATAAGGGAAATTTTCCGGCGCCCATATGTATGGTATATATAGGGTATATATTAAGAGCATTAATTTAAAGGCTTATTTGCATATTTTCTGTTCATTTAACATTGCTTGTCTTTACATTTTATTTTCATTCCACACATTATTTTCATTTCATATTGTTTTTCTTTTACAGTTTTTCTTTTCATTTTTTTTTTTTCATTTCACATAACTTTTCATTACTCTTTTAGTGAGTTATTGAACAAATTTGTTGCATTTTTTACTTTGTATAACTGTTTTGGAAGGAGTGTATTTGTGGGCTGGGCCAGAGTGGTTAATTTTACATGAGAGTAGAGCAAACAGTTCTGTTGTCTAATGTTCTTTCGGACCATGCTAAACACCCTTTCTCGTGCTGATCGACATACATCATTCCTTCCCCGTGTGAGATGCTAAAGTCGCACTTACAAAACTTATAAAACGCGTGACTGTCCCCCACCCTGCTCCTCTTCAGAAAAGTAAATTTGCTATCCCATTGATCGCGGTATTTAGTACATGAGGGTTTTGGTTTTTTGGCAGGAGTGCCTTGCTCTGTCATAGCGTCCATCATCCGACTCTGTTTTTGTTTGTTTTTTTGTTTCCCCCGCGTTGTCACTCATCTGACCTCACACACTAACCTCGCGACAACTGCCACCTATACCTAGTTATCGCGAGGCAAGTGACAGAGCTCAGATTGGGAATGTTTTGGTTTTTTTTACTCCGCCCGGGGTATTATTATTTTTCAATAACGCAGGTTAAAATACGGGAGATTTACGGGAAATTCCTAATACGGGAGGACGGCGGGAAAGAAGGGTAAAATACGGGACTTTCCCGGCCAAAACGGGATACTTGACAGGTATGGTATAGTGATCTTTTTATTATTATTTATATATAGGCTACAACAATTATGTGCTGGTTGTAGCTACATTATTACACTGCTACTTTAATAAATACATACATAGAAATTATTAATATTTTTCTAATAGAAATACTTTTATTATAGACCGGGGAGAGGCGGGATTCATAGGCGGTTCTACAGTGTTCTACAACGACAATCATTCAGAAACAAGACTAATTCCAGAAATATAACTAGGCTATTCCAGACGCGCTTGTAATAACACTAATTAATCATAGTTTGTTGCACTGAAAATATGCATGTTACTGGATGCATTTTTTGTCTCCTTAAAAAAGACAAATGTCACAAAATCAATGTATAGCATAACCTTTGCAGAGACTAAAATCTTGTTAATAGACACAATTAACCTTTCTCAGTATGGCTAACAGCTCAGAAGATAGTCAATGAGATATGGTTTTTGTATTATACTAGCCTATATTGTATATGATTTTCTTTATTCATTATACAGATACACTTGTTCAGTGTTTGAGTGTTTGAGTCCAAAGAGCCCATTTGCCAGCATTTGTGCTGAGCCAAGTTAAGAGCCCTTTAGAAGCATATCGTTTTCTTTGGCAGGTGGAAGCTGAGTAAGAGCAACGTGACGCACATATGACCCCACTCCCCCGTCAACTCTCCTCCCCTTTTCCACTGAACTGTGAATTTGCAGGTTTTCTTGGAATTGAGTGTTACTGCTTATGCATTATTTGGTCCAGAAGTGAGATGTTTACTATGTCCAAGAAGTAATTAGCCCTAGTTAGAAGTTAAGTTTTTGGGTTTAATTTGAAATTGGGTAATTGGGTTAAATGAAGGCAATGCATTACATTATCTCAGCTCATTGCAACTTTTTCAGCTTCTTCCTCTTACCAGGCCAAATGAGTGGATTATACCATAGATAGAGGACCTTATTGGGTCCCCCTTTTCACAGGACCCTGGTCAATTTTCCTATTTAAAACTCTCAGTGATATCCTTTATAAAATGAACATTATTTTGCCTTCTGTATCACAAAATAGTAATTTGCTATAAATCAGCAAAACAGAAGCAAGTGCAGAGATACTAGAGTGACACTCATAGCTTGACTCATTCTTTCTCAGCTTTGCAGAAAGACTCTACAACAACCAGAATAACAGAATAACCAAAGTATGTCATACTGTATGAGGGGCAAAACATATTTAAAGAATAGAGAAATAATTGTAAACTGCATAATTTGAGATGGGATCTTATCTGGGGTAAAATATAAAACAGCATGCAAGAAACCAGATGAATAAGATGAATATCTAATCCTATGGATTTCTTTTCACCTGTGCATAGTATTGGATTTTAATGGATTAACCATAAGTTCTTCTATATGTTGGCCGTAACCCAGTCGTATGCTAATTAAACCCAAATGTCCCCCTCATTCATAATAATGAATTAATATGTGATAATTTCACAGTGCATATTCACTTCGTGGAGTGGTGGTGTTTAGCTGAAGAGTGGGAGCTGGAAAGAGAAGGACTACTGCCAAGCCATCAGTATCCTTGCTTAGCATTTGTGTGCACCACCCAATGATGTTCTTACTAACTGGCAGCTCATAGTTACAGCATAACGACTTAATTTCCCTCTGCTCCGCTTTGGAGGTAAAAACTGTCCCAGTGAAACTTCCAAATGACAAACCTGTAATCAGAGGTTCACTAAAGCCAATGGCTTCTATATATAACTATTGTTTATTTTTTCTAAAAAGATTATTCGAGCAACCTACTTATATGCCTTGTTGTATTCTGTGAATTCTGCAGTAATAAAAAAAAGTCCCAGAAAAGCTACATATAGCCATGCTTGAAAGACTGCTTTGTGCACATGCATCTTCATTACATGGAGCCATTGTCTATTTCATTCCCACTGCTTACCATTATTTTATAGTCAAAACTCATTCACACACTTAAATCTACCCTATTTAATTAAAAAATCCATGCTGGTCAAAACACAATAAATACATTTAAAGAAACAAATGATCAAGTTCAATATGAAGGTGTGAGCATGAGGAAATCTTAGGTCATTAGGTTGAATGGTTCATCACGATTCATTCAGTCTTTAAATCTAGAACTGAAAGTAGAAACACATTTGTAGCAACAACTTATAATGATAAAAAGAGACATACTATTGAATTATTCATAAGGGACCTATGAAAATCTCAAACAGGAACATTGTGTTCATTCACCTATTCACCATGCTGAATCGCTGGTATCTGCTCATTTCCATCACTGAACAGCTCATTTACTGACAGTTTATTGTTTGGTCACTTTTTTGTTGTAACAAGTTGTCCTCAACAATATTTCAGTAAAGAACATCTATTGTGAATGTATGCAAACAATTGCATTTGCAAACATGCACTATCATTAAAACGTTTGGGGATGGTATATGTGTGATCTGTAATGGTCGGTAAGAAAATCTCCTGTTCACCAAGGCTGCATTTATTTGAGCAAAAATATGATATAGTAAAAACAGTAATTTTGTGAAATATTATTACAATTTAAAAATAACTGTTTTCTATTTGAATATATATTAAAATGTAATATATTTCTGTCATGGCAAAGCTGAATTTTCAGCATCATTACTCCAGTGTCACATGATCCTTCAGAAATCATTCTAATGTAATATGCTGAGTTGCTGCTCAAGAAACATTTCTTATTATTAAACATTTCTTACGAATATTTTTGTGGAAACCAAGATAAAACATTTTCAGGATTCTTTAACGAACTGAAAATTTGAACAGAAATTTGGCGCCCTCACACACATCTGAGAGGCATTTGTTAGACAGAGGCATGTGGTATAACTCAGCAACAGGTAATTTGAATGGTTCTCAGAGACAAATTTACAACTTCATTTGTTATGAAGAAATATGTCTCACTGCAACAGGGCGATATGTTCCTTGACAAAATAAAGAGATCATCCAAAATACATCTATATCTTAAGCGAGTATACAGTTAGGGTGGGTGTTTATAATGTTACAATGATTTGTGACATAATGGAGTTGTGCAACATTTCTGTAGATGATGTGCCAAAACATTGTCTAATTCAGGAGTCCACCAATTGTTGTTTGATTCTAAACCAATTTTTGTTGTTACCACAAAAATACTACATTAGGTCATCTTTAACATGCTAAAGTTCAGCTAAACATTCCCTCTCACATTAAAACGTATTAAGTAAAATTTAAATTAAATCCAGTTTTTGACTAAATACAGTACTATACGCATGCTATAGGGCAGGCCTAAAATGCAACTCTATTTTATGCAATATGTAAAAGGGTTCTTCGACTAAAAAGGGTTGAAGACTGTCTGTCCAGGAGATAAAAAGGGTTGACGACTGTCTGTCCAGGAGAGCTATCATTGTAAGTAAAATGTAAAATGCTTTGGGGAAAAAAAAAACTTTCTCACATGCACTCAAAGAGTGTGTCAGCCATGGCAAACATTCTTGTGTGTCTGATTAATCAAATACATCTATTCTCTGAAAAATCTTCTGTTGCAGAATGTCAAAACATCTCTGACATCATTTTTTGTTCTTCATTGTTTACTTGCTAACAATTGTGTTTAGAATAATATGTCGTACAAATTATGTCGTAACTCGGAGTCAGCGGTGGTCCAGCAGTAGTGGCAAAGGGGAATGGTGGCAAACGGTGGGTTGCATATGCAACCAGGACGTTCCCTTTCAGTCGAGAACGTCAGACGAAGGCCTAGGAAGGCCCGAAGGCAGCCCAAAGGCGGCACGAAGCAGGGTCTGAGAGTGGTGCACAACACTTACCTGTCTCCACGAGACGGCCAGGGATGCGTGAGAAGGCGGATGACCGGGTCCTCGAACCGCACCCAGCTGCCGTGCTGGCGAACAAGAGGGGGCTGAGCCAGCGGTGGAACAGACACACACACCAACGAAGACTCCACCCGGCCCTCACCCAGGAGGGAGTGGATCGGTGACCAACTCCAAGAGCATCCTCCTCCATCCCTGAGCGGCCCACTCAGGAATGCTTTCGCTGTC